TGAACAAGCCAGGGGACGTCGCAGGCAGCAGGGTAGATGATATATTTGGGTCTCCAGGCTGCACACCCCAGGAGGGGTAGGGGAAGTAAAAAGTGCATTAGTCAAAATAGAGGAGACTACAGGCAGTGCAAACAGGTAGGCGAGTGTGTATGTAAGCTCCGGCAGATATGGCCTTCAATCATTTGTGCTTCATTCAGTTGCCGGACCCTCCCTCACTTGCTATGTGTTTCTCATTGGGCTACACCTCTGTGCCTGTGGTCAGAAAGTCGCAGGTTTGAGCCGTGGCAGGACAGTCACATGTCTGTGGGCCCCTGAACGAGGCCCTTATCCCCCAGCTCCAGGGGGGCTGCGTGTTAGCTGACCCTGCGCTGTGACTCCCACACTGTGGAGAGCGGGGTGGGGGAGTGACGAGAAGCATCGCGACGGCCGTACTCTTCCGTTTTTTGCTGATTTTTTTTGTCTTGTAGTACTCCTCGCCTGCCGTACTCTCCCTCCCTTGCAGTACTCTCCCTCGCCTGCCGTACTCTCTCTCGCCTGCCGTGCTCTCCCTCCCTTGCCGTACTCTCCCTCGCCTGCCGTACTCTCCCTCCCTTGCAGTACTCTCCCTCGCCTGCCGTACTCTCCCTCGCCTGCCGTGCTTTCCCTCGCCTGCCGTGCTCTCCCTCGCCTGCCGTACTCTCCCACACTTGCCATACTCTCCCTCCCTTGCCGTACTCTCCCTCGCCTGCCGTACTCTCCCACACTTGCCGTACTCTCTCTCACTTGTGCTTGGTGTTCTCCACCACTGTGACCTCTGACATGGCCTGATCGATTGATGTGACATCAGGCACCATGACTCTTGGCCCAGTTGCTTAGTGTCATACCCAAACATGATCGTCTTCTGGAAAAATATTCTTTTGGAAAAACACTTGATTGTAGAGACTTAAAACACCTTACCCTTGTGGAGGGCTCCAACGGGATCCACTGTTTTCTCAGATTCAAGAGCACATCGTGTTATTTCCTTTGTTTTATATTTCTTTTACCTATCATACATAAAATTGAAGCCAGTGTTGAAGCCTGTGTGGGCGTGGTATAGCACCCCCTTGGAGAATCTCAGATGTTGCCTTACATCTTGACAAAGCCTCATAGTTGCTGCACTTTCCACTGCATCACCACCACTATCAGTCTCTGACCTACAAATACTGATAAAACATTCTGAGCTGTATTACACACATATACTACCCCCACTCTGACCACGCTGCCTACCAGCCCAATCCCTCCACATGCCCCCCCATCCCCGTTTTGTGTCTCTTTGTGTACACTACTTCCTTCTCGCTCTCACTGTAGGCACTGACACTGTGTACACACTGTATGTTGTTTGGACACAGCACTGAACAAACAACAACAAAAAATAACCCAACGTGCAAGATCATTCTGATTCTAATGCCTATCTTTTAATCAGGCTTTTTGCAGACCCACTCAATAGTGCACGAGAGCGAGCATAGATTTTTGTTCTTAGGAAGAACGACTGAGCGGTCATAGAGATTTAAGTTGCCTCACAAAAGATCCTTGATCATGGATTTTTGAAGAACATTTTTACAGGTGCAAGGTGTAACTTTAATGAATAAAGTTAAGTATACTTCTACAGCATGTAGAAGGGGGGGTAGCAGAGTACCTTCAGATACTCTGCTTTCCTCCCAAAGGCCCTGTGACAGACAGGCATCCCTGTCAGGGTTTATCATGTCTCATGACCACCGTTCACTGGCATAAGCTCCATGCTCCCTTCATTGAATAGGGGGATATGGAAAATAGACATATATTACTATATATTACTTATATTTACGGTATAAAGTACACAGGTTGCTTGTACTCCGTATAGTACTGAAAGCAATTACAGCCATAAGTGCTTTGGTATGTGTCTCAGTCAAGTGAATCCTCGAGTGTCCCACTTTCTGATTTTTAAGGCACTCCAGTGTAGTTTTTTGCTTTCTGCTTTGGTTTGCGGTTTCCGCGAAATGCATTTTCCAAACGCATTTGAAGTCTCTTATCAAGGAAATGCTTAGATGAGACCGACCCTGCAGACCGAGCGGCTGGCGAGGAAATCGGGGGTGGGATGCTGGTCCGAGGCCGGTGCAAACGCTACAAAAAGCAACAGCTGAGATGCGCAGAAAAAAAACTTAACAGCACAAAGCCGTTTACTTACCGACTTAGTCATAGGATAGGCTACAATTAAAAGGTTGCATAAGCGATTCTCAGCTTCAGCAATCCGGCCGAACAAGACGGCACAGATGCGGCCCTAATATTTTCGCAAGACACGCATATAGCTCCACTTTTATTAAATTCTTCACATTGTCCACATATATGGTCGTGAATATATGTGTTTTATGCATGCATTTACTGCATTATTACGATGCAGGCAAAATTCAGAAACCCATGAAATGAAGCGCATAATAGAAAAGAGAGCGAAAGCCAAGCAGCCGCTGCGTTTCATTTTATTTCATGATAAACAGCAGCTCCTTTGATTAGCCCCAGCGGTTAATGATGATATAATTGTTGACGCGAAGAGTATTAACCGGACCGTAGAAGCCCATTTGCCACCCGGTCTAAAATAAAAAGGGCTGCGTTTTACAGCATCGGACAGCAGAGACGTAGCGCTTCGCCTCACACCCCTAAATCAAGAGAGGCGGGGGGCATGACATTTAGGGTGGGGATTGACGCTTATAGCCCTCGCCCTCTATATCGTTCATTGGACAGATGCAAATAATCAATAAAAGCTGGTCTGGAGCAAAAGTTTGGCTTTTCTGACTATTGCACTAACGTCATTTGGGGAAGAGTCGTTGAAGCGATTACCCCCCCAGGCATGATGGAGGACGGGCGGACACAGGTGCGTGAAGCGCTCGGCTTTAAGATGGACCTGCCCCGTCAGAAGCAGATCCCCCCCCCGAGCCATTATTCACCTTCTGTGCTTTTTCCATAAGCTTCAAAAATGTAGATGAAGCGTTTCATTTATGGAATATAACCGATGCGCGCATTGCAGCGTGCATTTAAATGTTTGCGTTTGGTTAAAATAACGTTAAAGTTGCGTTAATTGCGCACACGCGAAATTAGATTGCGTATGTGGGCCTTGCATTTTGCATTTGTCTAGCTCATACTCATTTTGATAGCTTAAGTTATGTTTAATAAGGTTTTAGGCCTACAATAAACTTCTGTAGACTAGTATAATTATATTTAGTCTAAATATGTCTTTTTTGTCTAAACTCTTTGATTCTGCAGCATTAATATACCCGCCGACTCCCTGTTTTGCTTCAGGCTTTGTGATTTTCCTCCCTTGCAGTTGGGATTGTTTTTCTTCGAATTTCCCAGACGCGTAGAGGTTCATCGTCCGTCCATCTGAATTCTCAGTTTGCAATAGTACGAGTTTTTATACCCCCCACACACATATAGCTAAATAATGTAAACTTGTATATACTTAACTTAGTGAAGGTCCCGTGTAGTTCATATACTCTGAACTACATAGTTTACAGCAAACAGTCGATGATTCAAAGTTTCATTCACCTTTGAGGCCATTAGGAGTTATTGATGAAATATCTTTTTTTTTTCCACATAGAGGAACCCGCCCCGGCACCTCCCGTCTGCTGCCCGACATGAACACGTGTTTCCCTCATTACCGACACGCGGCCTGTTCCTTGGGCTTTAGTTTTATATGTCTATTGTCCGTTACGTGGATAGATGCAGCCGCAGTAGAATATAAATACTTTGTGAAATAAAGCGCGGTAGAAACTGCCTAAAAGCATCTAAACTGGAGGAGGTCACGACCAATTAGCTCTAAGGCGGAGTAATTGGTACTATATGCCTACATCTCTTTCACAGGTCCGAGGGCGTAACTTTTGGTGATTATTGGCGGGGGGTTACAGCCCCCTGTATTTGACGCCCATGGACAGGTCAATAAATGAATATTGCAACATTAAGAAAGTAATGAACATATCTTATGTAGATGATAAATTCTAGGCTTATGGAAATTCTCTCAGTGTATAGTGGGGGGTTGTTGCAAATGTTATATTTGGCTGCAAAAGTTCAGAACATCATAATCTAAGTTGAGATATTAAAATATCTCCGTGCCACTGCTGATGTGCTACAGGCACGATTATAATTGAAAACCCACGCATTTGCGGGTTAGCAAGACAGACCGAATCAGTGCATAACACATTTCCAAAGTAACTTTCTCCTCTTGTAATTACCACATATACAGTGCTAAGCTAGACGTCAGCTTAAAATGTTTATTAGTTTGAGCTATGAATAGAGAATTTTGCAAATTCATATTGACAACTTGCAGTATGTGTTAGGTATACTCATTTTACCCAAATGGCATTATAAATATGCTCATTATTTTCAAGAAGTGCCCAACAGTGATGCAGATATATGCTGGTGTTTTTTTGTCTTTGAAGGTGTTGAACCCTGCAAGCATTTCTTCATTAGAGTGCTGGGTCCAGAAGACGGCGGTAAAGTTGGTCCAGATAAATGGACAGCGGAAGTACGGGGGTCCGCCGCCCAGTGAGTGCCAGTCTCGGACTTTTATAAATCTTTTATGAAGTGTTTCAGCAGCGCAAATGGATAGCTGGCCTTGAAGTATTTTGCTCATAATGATATCACGTAATTGAGCTGACATTTTTAGTTGCGCAGTTTCTCCCAAGCGTGATGTCACTGCAAACAGGGCTGCCTGATTTTAGAGTTAAAAAAAAAACATGGTAGTGTGTTAGAATACCATGGTGCGGGAAATGAATATACAGTAATGCCTCGCCCTACGTCAGTAATGGGTTCTAAAAGGCACGACATAAGTCGAAAAACTACTTAACACGAAACCCCCTAAAAATCAGCACCAAACACCAGGTAAATAGGATAATATTTGGTGCCACTTGTAAATGGTGGTAACTCATTAATAAAATGAAAACTGTTATAACTTGTTTAAAATTGTCTTAATAATAAGTGTTACAACCTAACTAATAACCAGATTATAAACCATTCATAAACTCTTTATATGTTTAACCTTATTGTAAAGTGGCACCCAATATTTTTTCATTTATAAGCTTCTGTTTGAATTTATACACTACAATATATTATTTTACATATTTTAACGTCGCCTGACCGACATAAGGTTACGTAAACCGACTTAAGATGATTTGTATTTTTTCCACATACTGTATTTTTAATGAAAAACTGACGGAAAGTCAGATTTGACGTATGATGAGGTATTGCTGTACACATTATGGATAGTTGTATAAAGAGTTATGATTTTAAATAAGCCTTGTGTGAATGCTGTTTGGATGTAATGATGACATCACCGACTGGCCAGACTGGACTGGACCAGTGCCAGGGCCTGGATGTGAGGTGTTCATCAGCCAGATCCCGCGGGACATCTACGAGGACCGGCTGATCCCGCTCTTCCAGCACGTGGCGCCGCTCTACGAGTTCCGGCTCATGATGAACTTCAGCGGGCAGAACCGCGGCTTCGCTTACGCCAAGTACGGGGACCCGCTCCACGCCGGCGTCGCCATACGCACCCTGCACCGACACGAGCTGCAGGAGGGCGCGCGGCTGGTCGTGCGCCGCAGCACGGAGAAGAGGCAGCTGAGCCTGGGTGAGATGCCAGCCGGGGTGCAACGTGAGCAGCTGCTGCAGGTGTTGCGTGGCATCGCCGACGGCGTGGAGAGCCTGACGCTGCGGCCTGGCAAGGGAGGCGGAGTCACCGCTGTGGTGCAGTACACCTCGCACTACACCGCCTCCATGGCAAAGAAAGTGCTGTGTGAAGGTAGGATGGAGTACCGGGGGCCCCGAAACAGAAATGGGGGGCCTGTAGCTCGGGGGGGGTCGTGTAGCTCGGGGGTCATTCAGCAAAGCCCTTAATCCAAAATGTTCTTTGATTCTCACTTGTATGTCAGCGTTCAAGAAGAGGTTTGACATCATGATCACGGTGAAGTGGCAGAGCTTTTCGGGGAAGCCCCGGCAGGACGCCGATCAGGCGAAGCTCTCAGCCTCTCCCCCGCCAGGCTTTCCCCAGGTGACCCTCCGGTCTTCCCTCCTTCCCCCCCCCCTCCTGGATGGAGGCCATCGCCCAGCCCTCGGACAGTATCCCTCCCTGCCCCGGCCGGCCCGCCCGGGCAGAGAGGCGCTCCTGTTCGGGGACGCCGTGGCCTTGCTGAGGAAGGTGTGTGACATGCTGGATTTGGGCCCCCCCCTCTACAGCACGCAGTACCTCTGCTCCAGCCCGGAGGGCTTCCTCTGCTTCGCCTTCAGGGTGCTGATCCCGGGCGTGCCGCTGCCGTACACGGGCATGACCCGCGTGCTGCCAGGCTGCAGCGGGGCTGCCCAGAGGGAGGAAGTGTACCATGCAGCGGCCGAGCACATCCTGAGGTCTCTCTACCAGGCTTGAGATGCCCCTTTTATTGCACAACCTGGAGGTTGGCTTGTTTTTTTTTTAGAAATTTTATTTAGCAGAAATCTTTGCATCTTTTGAATTGTGGAAAAAATAATAATTAATAGTTTTACTTTTGAGAAAATGTACTGAGAACCATATATGAAAAATGTGGGTGTGATCTCTCCTTGGTTATTACAGGTCATGTGTTTGATTTTGGGGGATCACCTCTGCTCCTCTTTTCAGCTGCATGCTCATCACTGTCTTTTTTTTGTGTGTGAACGTTTTTATTTCACTTGTGGTTTTGCACTTTTTTAATTTCTTTTGGTTTTGCACTTTTGCGGAATGTTCTGACGTGCACTAATCCATGGCTGGCTTTTGTTTGACTCGTTCTTGTATTAAAATGAGAAACTAAAAGATGTCTGGTTGTGCTGATGGACAGTAAGTGGGGGAGCACAGATCTAATCTGCCCGCCCCCCCCCCCCCCAGCCTGGCTCGTCAAATCAATCACCGGTAACTGGCTCAATGGAGTGCTGAAGTAAAACAGGATATCTGCCGGAACCAGGGTTCAAAGCCATGAGCCCCACACATTTTAATGGTTTAGAAAAGAAACCACCCAACCCTAAAGAATGGTTTAGTGGAAAATTAAACCATAAAAATTGTGAGTTTATAGTTATGACCAGGGCTGTAAATTAGATTACACTGTAAATGACTTTGCACAACAGGCTGGATTATAGAATGTTTATTTTTTAATTCCTTTTTCCAGTTGAGAGAAAACACTTCAAAGTGTTGAATCTGCATGGAATGTTTCACGGTGAAGTTCCCATTTCACTCACTACTCATTCTGAAGACAGCTCTGCATCTAAGGTCACAGAAAACGGACCAAGAGAGATTTTAAATAGGACACCATTTTATTTATAGGACTGATTTTAAGTAAACAAGTATGGATGTAAGGTGAGCTGTGACATTATTTCAGCTGGAATGGAACATCTGGTTTTGGTTCCTTTAAGGTACACAGACTAACAAGGAGGGCAGCCTAGCCGTTAGCAGACAGCTGTTATTGGGATATCAATTGGAAAGACTGGGCATCACTTAGGGTCCCAGGGAATCTATGATCAGCCAGATCGTTTCTTTACTTCCCCCACCAGCTCCGCCCGTGACACGTCCACCTAGAAATGAGAGGTGATGTCAGTATTAGGCTGCGATCGTAAACGAGCACATTACTTTGTCCTCATTGCTTCAGTAGTTTACTGTTTGGTATCAGTACAATGTAGGAATAATGTTAGCATCTGCATACGTCACATAAACAGAGGGGTCAGGGTATGCCAGCGCCCAGCGGGCACCAGCCCGGGCTGCGGGGTACCTCTTCACGGCTGGTCACCGTCCGCAGCTTAACCACCCCGTCCTTCAGCTCCTGCTCGCCGATGATGGCCACTAGGGGGATACCCGTCTCCTCACAGTACTGCAGCTGGTTCAGCAGCTTGGGATTCTTCTTGTACATCACTTCTGCCTACGACACAGACACGGGACGCTGAGCCGGCGAACCTCGGGTGCCGACACGCCGAGGACGCCGTCCTGCCACGCGATACCTTCACTCCAGCTTCCCAGAGCTCCGCCGTCAGCTTCAGCCGCTCCTCCAGCAGGTTCTTCTGTGCCGACGCGACCAGCACTTGCGTCTCCGTGGTCCGTACCTTCTCAGCCTGGGGGTTGGGGGAGGAGAGCGAGAGGGAGACCACCCTTCAGTCCTGTGCTGTAAGACTCCCCATTCTGAATCCCAGACAACACACGTTTCTCCAGAGATAAACCAAATTTCTAACAAATGTCATGACGCTCCCTGGGAAATCTGCATCTCCATCCACACCACCCGACGAAACAACCTGCACCCGTCTGTCCCATAACCACTGAACTACACAGTTAACGTGCCACCTTTTCAATAATTCTGTATTAGATTAGATGAACATTTTTGATTCCAGGGGGAAATTCTTGTGCCTACAGCAGCAAGTACGTAGGGTGCAGACAAAAATACATACAGTGCAGTGCAAAGACGGTGCACACAGTGTACAGAACAAGTGCTGCAAACCGAAAGGTACACAGTACGCATATAGAATCCCGAAAAAACAATTACTGTCAATTTGCACATCCCACATAGCTAGCTGTAGGAGTCTAACGGCACATGTATTCATACTGGAAATTTTTGGAAACGGGTCTTTTAGTTCGGTACGCTTAAGTACCAAACGAATGCAGCAAATGCAGAACCTTTGTGTGTTTGCATTTTTCCCTGTGCGACATTCGGAAAGGAGCGGTTGAAGCCAAGAAGCTACGCGTCCGTGAAGCTGGAAGCTGTTAATATGAATACAAGTACAGTGCAGGTATTTTTTTAAATGCTGCACCGTAATGGATATTTATTTTGTTATGCTTTGTATTTTTTCAGACAATATTTGTGTTGCACAGTTGCAATACGAAGCTGAAAGCTGCGAATGTGAATACAGTACAGATCAGGTACAGTTAATTTTCTAAATATGCACCTTAATGGATATTTTATTTACTTGAGAGAATATTTATTTTGATTTCCTTTTAAGTGAATTTTTTTTTTTTTTTTTAGTAGGTTGCAGCAGTATTGACAGACTTAAGTACTTTGTTCCCCCGCTGTACCGAAAACATACCAAACCGCGTTGTGTTTTTCGTACCGTCACACCCTTAGCCATCCATTCCCCACTCTATTAATATTCATTTTTTTTCTTCCTATATCGCAACATTATGTCCTGCATTGCACTACGGTCTCCCCCCACCCCCACCTTGCACCTTCCCACAACTGTCAAAAGAATCTCATTGAATTCCCCAAGTACAGTAACAGTAACTTAACTTCACATTCCTAACTTGCTGTAGGTGTATCACTGCAATCCACCACTGACTTCATTTCAAACCAGAAGCTATTCTCCACTCAGAAATGTGGGTGTCTGGGAACAAACCCACAGCAGCTCACCATTTCATTTTTACTCATCTTATCTGACATTATGTAACGTACGCATAATCCCCGGGATTTGAACACACAACCTTGGCATCGTTAGCATGGTGCTTTACTTCTTGAGCTACAGGAGCACGTGTCCCTCTTCATGAGAGGGGGAGTCCTACCTCTGCCTTCTGCTCCATGATGGAGAAGATGCGCTCGATCCCGATGCTGACGCCGACACATGGCACCTTGCGGCCTTTGGGGTCGAACATGCCCACCAGGCCGTCGTAGCGTCCGCCCCCGGCCACGCTGCCCACGCTGACGCCCTCTTCACTGGCGCTGTCGTTCTGTTGCTGTGCTGGGACGGTCGACGCCAGTGTAGCCTCGTAGATCACGCCCGTGTAGTAATCAAGACCACGGGCCAGGCTGAGATCAAACAGCACCTACGGACACGAAGAGGATTGAGCAGGACAGCTTTTAAAAAATTAATGGAGTACAAGAGCAGTCTGACTACACTTCCTGGACAACCGACTACACTTCCTGGACAACCGACTACACTTCCTGGACAACCGACTACACTTCCTGGACAAACGGCTACACTTCCTGGACAACCGACCACACTTCCCTGCAAGGTTGATGTTTCAGTTTGTCACAATTCCAATTTATCTACTTAGCACATGCTCATATCCAACGTGACATAGAACTGAAAGCACGGTCAGACAGTCTCTGGAGCAAGTGAGGGCTAAGGGCCTCGCTCAGGTGCCCAACACTGACCCTGGGATTTGAACCGGTGACCTTCTGATTACAGCCACACACTCCGCCCTGCACAGTCATCATTCCTCAGTCGTCCCCATGTCCCCCACCTGCTCACTCGCCAGCAGCTGAACCTCCTCTTAGCAATTATGCGTAAGAGAATCTACCAAAGTAACAGACGATGGCAAGTCGCCTAATATAAATCACAGCAAGGAGGATTATAAACATCAAGACGGCACAGAAACTCAAGACTAGAGGGTCATGTCAGGCTTGTGATCAGTCCGCTGCCCCTGCCTTGTGCTTCCGTCAGACGGCTTGGAGCCGAGAGCGGTAATTCTCACTGCATTTGCCACCGGGCAGTTACCACCGTTCAATTACCACACTGACATCAAGGGGCTCCTGGTCGGATTTACGACCTGTGACAAAGAACCATTTATCTATCAAGGTCAGCAGGGTCTAGAGAGTCATACACATTTGAGTCTGCAGTCCATGGGATGTTCTTAAGGCTGGTTCATCCTCCTCTGCACGTGTACTAGTGGACGTGTCCCCTCGAATGTTTACGACGCGTTTTACGTCATTGTGCGCCTCCGCACTCCGAATTTGTGTCTGCGCAGCTCTGGACATTATCGATTCCCTGGCGTTCACTTTAAAATACCAACATGGATGCTTTTGACGGCCGTTGGGGTAGTTTGCAAACCCTACAGATTATTCAGAAGGTAATTAAACTGTTACACACATGTAAATGCGTGTGCAGATTTGTCTCGAATTGAAAATGTCGCGCCAGTCAGCTGACCAAAGTTGGAAACCCTGTGATCTGGCTCTCTGAATTTGGAAAACAGAGAAATGGACATAAACATCACTGCTATGGTACGTGCGCAGGGAATATCAGAATAATTTATATTATTATTATTGATAAAACTATAAAAACAACACAATGTACGCGTGTGCAAAGTACGTGGCTTGATCGGAGGACTAAGAACGTTTCCATTTACGCATACGCAGAGTGGATACGCGAGTACTGCGCTTGTGCGGAGAAGTATGAACCAACCTTTAGAGTGAAAGATCTACAGCACCTTACTGGGATGCTTTACATCACTGTATGAAGCAGCAGTTCACTGGTTACAGGAAATGAAAATATAAAGGAACAGAATAACGAGAAACAGGAAAAAAGTAAATATATAGAAACCAAAAGCATTTGGAACCCAAGGTTAGTGGGACTGTCATCACATTAACCTTCACACATACCTTATTATGCGGGAATCAAATTGCAAATAACTGAAGTCCTTTAGTATAAGATGCACGCCAAACTGGCCCAAAACTATGACAACAAAGCGCCTTTCAAAGCTGACAAAGTCAGAAGGCGTGTCCTACAGAGTCACTTAGCCGTTTATTCAGGCGATTTCACTTCGTTTGTCTCGCTCATATACGTAACACATACCTGATGTGTTCTGTAACCCCGAATGGACCATTTCTGAAAGGCATGTGCTCATTGTTCCCATTTCCTCCGGTACTGGATTTCAGAAGCTAGACAAAAGGCAGGTTTCTCTGACACTTGGTGAAAGCCCCGTTGTGCCCGCGACGTGCCCACCCCCCGGGCGTCACCGCCTCCATTCTGGACTCCCGCCATGTCACATGACCTACCTTCGTCACCTTGAACAGCTCCAGGTAGCAAAACAGCTGCTTCATGTCTGCCAGCCCAGCGCAGGCCTGCTTGCTCTGGGACATTTTAGGGTCCTGTAACAGCTCGTCCACCAGCTCCATTCCACCTGAAACAGAGAGAGGAAGATTCACTACCTGAAAAAGGGCACCGAATGTGTAGAGAAGGTCTACAGAGGCTGACAGCACAACCAAAGAAGCCAAAGTCCCAGTTACAGACAGTCCACGGGTTACAAACGAGATCCGTTCCCTAAGTCAGTCTTTAAGTTGAATTTGTAGGTAAGTCGGAAAAATAATAATAATTATTATTATTATTAATCGATCAATTATTATTATCAGGGAAGCATATCACTGGTACACACGGACGTATAAAGCAAGGCGTGTGGCAATTTCCTGTCGTAGCAGCACAAATGCATATTTATGTGCGTTCGCACTATGACAAGAAATTTTAACCTTTATGTGGCTAATTTGTTCTACGTTTGCGGTATAAAGGATAAAGTGCACAATGATTTTTTTTTTGTCAGAACAGCGCAAATGCACGTTAAATATGCAGTTGCGCTACTACAACGAGAAACTGTCGCGCATATCGCTTTATACAGCGAATGCGTACTTGAGTATCGGTTATGTGGTTCCCTGATTATTATTATTATTATTATTATACAGCGATAATAAAAGTAACACAGTACTGTAGCGGCGCCTTGAGCCAACAAGCCAATGAAGCCGCACAATGTGTCCAGGAGAATCACACAGTAGTGCGTATGTTTGTTATTACGAACCATTGTATTTAACTTGAATTTCTAATGTAATAGGCTTTATGGCAGTCTGTTCGTAAGTATGAGTTGGCTGTTCGGACGTTCTTAACCAAGGGACTGCCTGTATAATGAGAGCATGAGGGTCATACTCAATACATCCTGCCTACTTTAAACCCACATTAAATCCAGTACAGCACCATTGTAACAGTGTTAAAATATAAGAGAGCCGTAGTCGAAAGGCACAGTGCTGAGTGGGTCTCTTACAAAGGTGGATAGCTCAGGTCCAGAAAGTAAAAATCCAGACCAAGGTTTTGTTTCAACAAACCAGGTGCATATAAAAACTACAGAGTCCACAACTGGATGGTTGAAACAAAATCTTGGTCTGGATTTTTAATTTCTGGCCATGAACTATGCAATTCTGGTCTGTCATAACTAATCTTTACTTGACATCTCATCTAAACTGACATCTATTTCCATGATACACTTGCAGGAAGCTGCAGGAATTACATTGCATCATGCAAGCCTCATTCATACATCAAGCGTCCAACGAAAAGCAAGATTCCAACCTTCTGACTGAACACGCCCATTCAGTATATTACCAAACAGAGAGGGGACTTCAAAAAAACAGCCTTGGTTCAAGTAAGACTCACCTCGCTTACTAACGTACTCCCCAATTTGGTCTGCTACCTCTGGAGCCAAACCTTTCTCGTTCACCATCTCGTTCTTGACATCCTCCCAAGGCATCTAATGGAAAGAACCCAGATGCAACCTCAGACAAGGCAGCTTGGTCAACATGCTTCCCATTTTACGTGGAATTCAACAGGCATGCTTCCAAAGAGCGCAATCAAGAAGGCAAAGCACACCTGACAAACCAGTATGATGGGAAACACAGTAAAGCCAGATACAACCTCCTAGGCACCCTCTATTCAGACATGTGCACGCTCAGATCACCTTGTCCAGTTTGTCCACTGTTGAGCAGATGGTGCGGAACTTCTCGTCCGGTACGCCGCAGACCGCAAACATCCCGTCAAGAATACGCCTGTCATTGACCTGCAAAAGAATGCTAGATGCAACATCAAGCACCAGCTCCACACATTCAAGCCCAGCTACCCAAGCCCCCAACCATCGAGGAACAGCGGTTGGAGAGATGACCACGCTTCTAAGAGATAAATGTGGAAGAGAGCTATTTTATGGTCTAACCTTAATGCAGAAATCCCCCAGCTGCAGGTCACTCAGGATCTCATAGACGATCTTCAAACACTCGGCGTCAGGAATCATGGCATCGTATTGCCCTGCGATGTCAAAATCCTAGGAGCCAATGAAAACAAGTGCTCAGCAGAAGGCCAGATGCTACACTGCCTAAAGGATAAAAGTGTCTGCAGATATGATCGTGTGGAACATGGACTGCTGGAGTCCTGAGCCAAGCCAGTGGGTGAAGTGCATAACCTACTGCTAATGCCTGCTAAAGAAAAATAATTAATCGCTGATCGACTAATACAGTACTTCTCAACCCGGTCCTCGGGGACCCTCAGACGCATGGCAGGGACTAGTAAATTAGCTGGCTGATATACAGAAATAGGATATCTTTTTTTGAATGGCGGCATGAGGCAATAAAGACACAGAGGTTACTGATAAAAGCACTGTTCATGTAGAGTGGTCTTAAAATATAGCGATGATTCCTGCAATGTTAGCGATCCACCTTGTTAGAATGAAAATGTACATTTCTTATCATATTAATTGTGTGTAGGTAGGCAAACAGTTTATCAGCTTTGACGCAGAGCCTGTTAGAACAGGACATCCTCTCTGGTTCTGTAAGATTGTTCCTTTTTCACAATCACCCTGGGAGTGGTAATAGACTCTGTCGATACAGCAAGGGGGCCCACTCTGAGGAATGCAAGGTCCTGTGGTTAACCCTTTCCTAAGAAGCACAAACAGCATTAATAGCCTAAGGATACTCCCCATTGTAACCCCTCCCCTTCTGTATAAATAAAGAAGCCAAGGGACCGCCCTGTGTGACACTGAACTGAGGCGCAGATACTGTCTGTTGCATCTAAGTGAGTGGGCACCCTTGCGCAAGTAAAAGATAGGAAGCGTGCTGTCTCTTTATTCCTGAGTCCGAGAAGTGCAGAGTGTGGAGTGAGAAGCCAGTACGCTTTCTCCACATAGGTATTGAAGGGGTCAAAGCTTCGGCGCTTTCCCCAACACACCTGTATCAAGAGACCATTGGTTAAAAGCTGGAGACAGATCTGCTGCCAACCAGGCATCTGCTTGAGTGGCAGGAAACCTGGGTTTATCTTATAATGTCCATGAGAAGTTTAATTTAAGCTACGCTTTGTGTGTATAATGAAATATCAAAGCGTTTACATCATCGTCCATCGTATTCAGGTAGACAATTCACAAATGCAGGCTATAATCTGAGCGTCAGCCTCTTCGGTAACCTTGGTCAATGCCATAGTTGGAATCCGTATGTTTTGATAATTACAATTTTGAGAAGTTGATCAATTTTACTCAAAATAAAACAAAGCACCTGTAGCATTCGCTCAAAACAGCAGTAGAGTAACAGCAGCCCCTTTAAGTCCCTGCATTGGTTCTAGGGAGATTTTCCTCACTATTCTGGCTCATTGGGGGCTTTGGGGCAAGAATAATGTAAAGTGCTTTGAGATAATGCAAGGCTGTGAAAACGCGCTATACAATTACAACTGAATTGAAGTGTCACATTATATTCAAAGGGCGTTCCAATATATGTGTGACATTAAAGATGCCGGTAAATTAGAACTGGCTGGGCTCAGTGATCTTATCTACGACTTCTGACAGTCTTCATTTCGGCTTCCCCTCTGCCAGCATCCACTCTACCACCTAGCTTGTCAAATAAGCTCATCACATTTCTGTATTCACAGCCACTACACAAAACCTCCCATTAAACCGGAACATGGAGTTGCTATTAGATCCGGGACTAATAACTTCATGAACTGAAACGGGGGGAGATAAATGGGGGCTTCTCTCCTTAATGTATTTAAATTTCTAGTTTAGCTCCACTTATCACAATCTTACACATCAGTGCTTTTAAGATTCAATGAGGCATTTCATTTAAATGCTGTTAAACATGGTCTGGAAGAAAAATGCAGAATTCCCTACTGTCCGCCACATTATTTAAAACTGAAAGACTTTACTGTTAAATCCCAATAAATCAGTAACATAATGTGCAGGGGAAAAATGTTTTAAAAATGCTTATTTTTATGGAAAGACTATAAAGCCTACATGAATAAAGGAGATTGTTGGACTGTTTTTTAGGTGTGTCGGATTGGTTTATGAAATGACTATGCTTCAATATTCTGTTAAAATAAGGCTGAAGCAGATACAGTATAGCAGTTTTATATTTACTAAATTTGTGAAGTTTGATAATAATACCTTTATACTAATTTTTTTAATGGCCCATATTTCAGTATAATCCAATACGAGGCATTACCCACACTGCCCTAGAAATCAGGGGAAGGCAATACTATCCGAATAGGGCTGGTGTGCATGCAGATTTTTGGGATAGCCTTTAGGTCAGCTGCTCAAAAGCAGGTGTGAAAAGAGGACTGATTGGTTGAAGAGTTATCAGTAATCTGATTAGGGAGTTGCAGCGAAAACCCGCACACACAACAGCCCTTTCTGGATAAGATTGCCTAGCTCTGCTCTAAATCAATCTTTCTCAATCCGGTCCTCAGGAAGCTCGTGTTTTCGCTCCCTCCCAGAATCCCTACCAGTCAGTCCACATTTCTGCTAAACAAAAGCAAAAATGTGGCCTGCCTGGGGCTCCTGAAGGGCTGGTTTGAGAAACACGTCTCTAAACCACCACAGCAGCAGTGGCCCTTGGAAAACCCATCAGTTGACAACTAATCATCATCAATACCAATCATAAACGTATAAGGTGCAACACAGATTTCATTCTTACTAAAAGAGGAACAAAGTAACACAAGAGGCATCTAATATTCCACTTAATGTCTGCCGATTCCCGCTCCTGGAGATGTCCCACCCTGAAAAGCTTAGGTGCATCGCTAATTTAACACACCCGATAACAGACAATCAGGCCCATCAGTAGAATCCCCGCATTAGTGCCAGGTATATTAAACAGCGGATTATCTGTATCAGGTGTGTCGTGTTAAGGTTGACTTATTCTTTTGAGTTAATTCGATGCCCTAAGATAGGTGTAACCGTGAACCCCAGGCTGCTGCCTGCCCGCACCTCCCTAAAAATGCAACTACACGTCACTGCAATGCAGACAATGAGAACTGTTCGTGTTCCGCTTGGTAGCATTGGGAGTGAAGAAAGCGTACATCTCAGGTGTACTTATACCGCTGGCTGAAACTGAAGCACTATTCATATCGAGCATTAAGTACCCCACCCTAGACGTCTTACCTACTGGGCTACAAAACACTCCAGAAGGCAGTGCCAGTAAACAGTAATATAGACTAACTGGGAAGGGAAAATGCATAAACAGTGACTGTAGCGGATCGACATTTTCCCAAATTCGTCTACGGGATGTTTGGAGCAGCACAGAAATAACCAGGACTCGACAAATGGACATTTTGTTAAACGTCCCCCCCCCCATTTCAGTTGCGCGATTCAATAACTGAATATATCGCAGGATGGGAAGACAACAAATGCAACATCCAAAACTGTGTGTTTTGTTTGTGCTTTTGAGGCTGAAAAGCATGCGAGACGAATTCCAATGAGAGCTACCACAATGAGGAAAGTTTCTAGCTGAAAATGGGATTAGGCGATGCCTTAGGTGACGCAGGTGGAGAACCGATGGTTAAAACGCGACAGAGTAGCAGCGGTTCCACCTACACATTGATAGAACTCCCTGTAGCGCCCTCGTGTCATGGCTGGGTTGTCTCGCCGGTAGACTTTGGCAATGTGGTACCTTTTGATATTGGTGATCTTGTTCATGGCAAGGTAGCGTGCAAAGGGCACCTGAATAACGTTTCATTAAGGAGAAAAAGCCAGTGCGTATTTGACTCCCGTCAGCCTCTAACCATCAATCTGTAACACTGCAACACTGCATTTTACAGTCCTTAAATGAATTCCCAACACTCAAACAATGCAACCTACCAATCAAAGGCAGGCTAGTGAACAAGGGTGATTATACCTCAACCGAGACTCAGTGCAGACCTCAGAACATCTACGGCTGGTACTGAGGGGACAGGGGTCCAAAGGATACAGTGAGATCATAGCGCAGAGACAGCAGTTCTCCACCCTGGTCCTTCAGGTCATAGATGAGCTTGGAGTCTTCACCGTACTTCCCCGTCAATGTTTCCTACAACAAAACATCTATCAAGTCAATGTGCTCCAGTGAATCCGGCGATCCGCAAGCCGCTCTTCCAGACCGTACCTTCAGCTCAAAGACAGGTGTGTCGATAGTTTCAGCTCCATGGCGTTTGAAGCAGTTAATGATGATGTTGAAGACCTTTTCCCGGATGGCCATCTGCCTGGGATTGTAATCCCTGGTGCCCTATCAGCACAACAGGAGAGAGGTCAGTCTCTCAACATATCCATCTCACCCCCCCCACCTCAAACTTCAAGCTGATTTATATTGGGAGGCTCTCTCACAGCATTCTCTGTGAAACACTTACTGCCATCGCTGCTCAGGTTAAACTCACCTTAGCCGTCTTGAGCACAAAGGTATGTTTGCAGTCATCTCCGCCCAACTGGGCCTTGAGCTGCAGGAGTTTGGCAACTTCCTCATCGATCTGTGGGACGCACAGGAGGCACAGAGATGACTTTGAGCGAGCAGGTATGGGCTGATGCATCTCACATCCTGGGATACAGTACAGGCTCTGGTGGTGTCATAGCAATGTTTACGTTCTGGTTGTTATCTCAGAGTAACAGCGGCAAGGCAAAATGTTTATAACAAGTGAAAGCAAGTCCGTCCATCTTCCAGGACAGTGTTACAAGGGCGGTTCAGGAGATATGGAAGACAATGGAGATATGAGATACGCACTGAACAACTGTTAAAAAAGCAAATATAAAAGGTGTGACTGTTTCGGGGACCCCATTCAAAAACTCACTTCGTGCCCCCCTAGACCCTCCTCAGAAGTTTCAAAAACTAAATATCTAGTGGGCAGAGTCAGAGGATGGCAGCTAGCTAGCTGATTAGCAGAATATGCTGCTTCAGCATCTTAAATAAGGAATGTGTCTATTTAATATTTAGTGTAGTGACTGAATATGGCCAGCAGGGGGCCCAAAATCCCAGGGGGCCCACGCAAACGCATTGTTTTTAGTGGCAGCGAACACCTCTGGTGACCCTGAAAGCGATGCACATCAGCAGAAGTTTTATGGAACTTGCATGAAAAAAAAGGCCTAATGGTTGGGGATGTGCACTTGTAATTGAAAGGCTGCTGGTCCGAATCCCCGACCAGCAAGGCACCACTGAGGTACCTTGAGCAAGGTACCGCCCCCAAGCACTGAATTAGCTGCTCCCTGCTATGCCACGATGTCACATATGGGTTAAATGCAGAGGATACATTTTGTTGTGCATTGTGTGCTGTGGTGTGTCAACAATGACAACTATTCACTTTCACTTTCACTCAGAAACAGACCACACCCCCTACACAAACCCCAGCACATACCTGTGAGACAGTCATCCCAGAGAGATGCCGGAGAGGCCGTGGACACAGTCCGCGTCCATGTGCAATAAGTCCAGTGATCAGACGCACAGGAAACATTCCCAATTTATTCATGTTCCCAACAGAGAAAAATATAACCATCAAAAATGTTCACATGCACAAAGTTAGGGTGGTTCACCCAAGTCCAAACGTTCAACAACCCATATATCAATTATAGGGCATAAAATAATCCAAAGTAAAAGGCCATCCGTGGTACAGCAGCGGTGAAGGGAAGACAGCAATGATGGATGAATCCCCCAATGGCGAAGATACACCAAGCAGGAAGAACAGGAGAAAAGTGATCAGCGACCCTAGCAGTAGAGGGTGTAAGTGAGGCATCACCACACCACATGGGGACAAGACATGAGGGCGAGCAATCAAAACTTATGTAGGGTAAAAAAAAACAGCTCATCAGAACGTATGCTGCCTGATCAAGTTCACTACACAAGGTGCACAATGCTTAGATACAAGCAGGACATTGAGTGTTTCCAAAGAAAATACAAATACGAAACCCAATGGTTAAACTGCATAATAGGGCAACGTTAAAACAAACCCTGCAATTAGGCCTACTCTTTTTAAATCTGCGGATTTAAAGAACTGTAAATGTTAATATATAGACACTTATGTACTCAAAACACAATAACGTATGCTCACGTTTAGGTTATTTTGTGCAGAGTGGACATTACGGAAACGCCGGCATTACATGATTATTGCGTCAGATGGGCACCAGCGCATTACCACTCATGACGATTGCCATCACATTTCGCTAAGTGTAAATTCCGTCATTTTAATGTATTTAGCTACAAACTGCACATAAAAACATTCGCGGCCAACTAACTATATGACAATTACAGGTTAGGTACCTAACGTTACGGCTACAGACACAGGCTTTCGACCACACAGACGTATCTAAATGACCGTTATCCAAATAAGTAGATACATCAGATTAAGGTATGCTTATAGCTGGTTGTTAATCTGTTTAATTACAGTTGTATATTATGCATGTTATCAGCCCATGACATGCATTCAGCCATTCGATGATCACTGACGAGGGCCTCATTCACTGTTACTACATGCTAACGTGCTGCACGGACCCTAACTACCTAAACCTGGATTTCTGCTTGACGACGTTCATATCGGAGGCCGGCGCTGTCGCAGACTGACCTGCTCTTTGCCGGCCTTTTCTGTCTTGAGCTTCCGGACCAGCTCTCCTTGTGTTTTGATAGCTTCGAGCAACTGTGCCTTATCCGCCATGACGCTCCCCAAACTGCGCCGGTATCAGCGCTGAATCCCCCGTGCTACGTGCTGCGCGCGCCGCTGACGCCTAACGTCACCCTGACTCCTCCCCATGAGGGCGGGGCCGAGGCGCCGCTGCATACCGCGTGCTGCTCTGACTGTCCGCAGACTTTGTAAAGGAGCTAAATATCGGTCGGTTTATCCAGAAGAGTGGGTGAATTGGGAAATATTGGGGGATGCTGGTACTTGACATAAACACCTTAAATTAGGTACATGATTTTAACCAAGCACAGAATCTCAATACTCAGACACAACAAACTCCAGAACTACGGGCACATGTCATCAGAATCAGTGGAAAGAACTGTATAATATAAAAAGGACACATAATGATTCAAATTATGAAAAACATTAAAACTAGCGGTGGTGGTAGAGGGGTTAGCACTGTTGCCTCACACCTCTGGGCATGGGTGTCGTTAGGAGTATTTTAGCCCCAATGCCAATCCAATAAAAATAAATTTAAAAAGTCAAGCCTCAGCTAAACTTGACTTAGCCCCAGCTCTTTTCAATAGCTAGAAATTCCCCTGCCTCTAGGATCCAGTGTCCCCCCACAGTCTAAAACCATACTAAGGTGAATTGGAGTTGCCAAATTGTCCATGGGTGTTGGTGCCTCATCCTGGGCTGCTCCCTGCTTTGGCCTGTAGATTCTGGGATAGGCTCTGGACCCCCGCAACCCTGCACACGACAAGTGTGTATAGAAGATGGACGGATTGAGCACAGGGGGGAGGTCCTGAAGATCACAATAGATCAAGATTACATTATAGGGTTTGGATTAAATTGTACTTGCCCGGTTGCAAAAATAGTTGGGAACCTCTACTCCATAGCTTCAGTTTTAAATATAACTCTGAGCCCTGTAAACTGCAGATGTTTTATGACAATTCCTCCATTATGTGCTGCTTTGACAAGGGGGATGAACATTTTGGTAGGGGGACTCAAACCCATAACTGTACTACATGGCTGCATGACTGGTGTTGTTATGGCCCTGCCCCCAACCACCACACAATGGGAGGTGTGGAGTAAAAAGCCATAAATACCTAGAAGTGTATCGCTGCAATAACCTGGACTGGACTCATAGCGGAGATACATTCAACAAGAAAGGACAGAGCAGACAGTATTTCCTGAAGAGGCTCATAACATGTAATGTCTGCATTAGGCTGTTAGCCAGCGTTTTACCTGGGGGTTCAAAAGTCTGAGGAAGCTTGTCATTTGAATTAAAGAGGCTGAATCTGTGATATGCAGGTCCCTAGACAAGTGGGTGGTGGTAGCATCTCCACAAGGAGTCCACTGAGTAGCATTTCTGGGGCTACGTCCCACCAGCTCCAAATAGACACACAGCAGGATCCAGTCCCCAAAACCTGCAGGTGTGAGGCAGTCGTGCCCCCCTTAGAACCGCTGTGCTACCCACTTCCTAGTCATCCAACTGGGAATTTGTTCTGTCATTTGAATCATTTTAATCCTATGTATTGCTGTAAATTCTGCACAGCCATGTAAATCACAATGTTTTGCTCTTTATTTATTCATTGTAAATATGTGTTTTATTGTCTGACTTGTTTTATTGTTAAAACCTGCTGTTTGTATCCAGGCATTCCACAGAAATGTAATTCCCCCCGGGGGAACAATAAAGTATGCCATACCATATATAAAATAAAATAAAAAAAGAAACATTTTATTGAGTAGTGCATTGTTTTTCTGCAAAACATAGGCTTAAAAATTACTGGCACCCCAAAGGAATACAAGTAGAGTGACGTCTTCTGAAGTTCTGTTATTTTCAGTTGCTCTCAGTCTCCAGAAACTGTCTTGTTGTCTATCACCAGTACCTGTGTCCCTAGGATATAATCATGAGTTTGTAAAATCCTTTTGTCATCCACCAACATGGGCAAAACCAACGAACACTTAAGAAAAAAAACTTAAAAGAAGACAGATGGATGTTGAAATCTTGGAGTTTATCAGCTTATCAAATTTCAAAATCAAGTGCTACATGCTACCTCCTTTTCAACAATGTCATTGAAGGTCTTTACTGGACACAAACCTCATATTGCAGCAGCTGAAGTTTGCCAAGTATTATTGGAACTATAATTGGAACCATGTTTTGTGGTCAGATGAGAACGAAAAATGAGGCCATGCACACCAGCAACACGATTGTTGCAAAAAAAAAAACTGCATATAAGGAAGGCACCCAATATCTACAGTAAAATATCGCGATTGATCGTTGATGATTTTTGGGCTTTTTTGTTGCAAGTGATCCAGCAACATTTATTAAGATCTGTGGCATAATGAATTCTGCTAAGCAGCAGGACATTGTAGTCCAAAACCTGGCTGCCTCTGCCATGAGGTTGAGACATGGCTGTAGTGAGACCTTTAAACAAGACAATGACAAACTACCATCAAAATCAGCATAGAAATGAGTGCAGGAACAGAAAAATCAGTTTTCAATAGCTGTCTAAGATTGCAGAATTGTATCCTATTGAGAACTTTGATGGGATGGTTTACTCCTACAATTCTAAGACTTCCAAGAACCTTGAAATGTTAGAGGAGTATTCCAAGATCCTTATAAAACTACCTCCAAGATCGTCACAATAAACAAGAATTCTGCTCTGTGCTCTTCTCTTCTCTCCAGGTTATGCTTCACAGTCTTGTAATTGTACCACAATCAAACAAATATCCTCAATAACCTTTATTGTATAAACCACTCAATTATTCTTGCTCTCTGCAGAAAGATTTAATGTGGAGTAAGGAGAAATGTTGGGTGCCATCTGCAAGACCATGTTTGTTTATGGAGCATCTAAGTTCCATCTGTCTCTCTGGTACAATGCCTGAAGCACTGTGTGCTCTTGTCCAAGGTGAACTGGGTAAGGTCTGACATCCTTATGTTGGCATGACCCCAAGCAGTACCTCATCCTTTTACAGATGGGCATGGTGAAGGAAGACACGTTGCAGCTCCAACAAACAAGGTACATATTTTTACTAAAAAAAAAAAAAAACAAGAAACAAAAGTAACCATAAGGGGACAAAAAATAAAGCAAGGAGCAACACAGGAACAACGATAGTAGAACGGCAGCAAACACAGGGCAACTACATCTACAAACGCATAATGCAAGACTGGGGAACAGGGTAAGGGTAGGCACTTAAATATACTTAACAAGGGCTTCAACAACGGACAGGAGCAGGATATGATCATTCAACCAATCACTAGTCCTGGGAACAACAAAACATGGGTGAGGGTCATAATCACAAAGGACACAAACACTGGGAAAGGGGTGACGAGCGACACCTGCCGGCCAGGCAGGGACGGATCCTTACACACCCACCCTCCACACCTCAATAACAATTTGTGATTGGATGTCTGTGATGTTTGATTACCCAGCATGCTCAAGATGTTATTGTATGAACAAGCACAAGATTCTGTGCTTTTCATTTCAATGTAGAAATACAATGCACTGTTTGCAGTATCACTTTTTGTAAAGGAGAATTTTATTGTCTTGTCCGCTTGCTCTTGAAGTTCTAACAGAATTCAGAGCTGGAACCAGGCAAGTTAATGTACATGTTGTGCGGCCATCAAGGCAATTTAATCATCTTCCTCCCTTTGTAATATAAATTGGCCAAACAAACGTCCATCCTAATGCTGTAATGTCACTGTAAATGATAAGCAGCTGTAATAATACTAAAGTTGTCTCATCGAACTTTCACAGTGAAATAGAAACAATCTACACTCTCAGCTTAGCAATAAGAATTAAAAAATTCTTAAAAAAATAAGTTTCACTGGAATGACAGCATTTGCAGAAGCTCTGATAAGAACTTCTGATAAATGTATTTCAGTATTCAGAAATATTTTTAAAACTGACAGCCCAAACAGCTGAAATACAGCATATAAAACAACCTGCTTTAAGACTTTGGGTTTTGAAGTCTTCACTTGTCGAAAGTAAATACATGGAAAGATAAAAACATCCAGGAGACGTTCATTCAACTGAGTCTTTTGTGATGTAAAACTGAGCAGAAATTAACCACATTTCTTCAAATGGAAGTCATCACCCTCTGAATCCAGTGAGCCATGAAAAAAATTATTGTTTGAGCTTCTTGGAAGGTAGCAGCTGCTCGGGTTTTGAGATTTCGTTACTGCCAGTGAAGGGAATTCTCTGGCTCACTCGCTTGCCGATTGTCTCCACCTGTGAGGGAAAATATGGATCATTTTGACATGCAGACATCTAATGACACTGTGCCAACAGCTACTGAGAAAACTAAAGTCACACTGAAGACAATACAGCACCTGGAAGCCTATATGCTGAAGCTGGTCATGCAGACTGTCAAGGATTCTTCTCCCATCAAAGATGAATGCGGGTTTCAACATGGCCTTGTAGATTCGCTCATAGTCCAGCTCCTGTAACACGCAGATATTTCCACATGTCTTAGGCTTATAGTGGCAAGACTGAAGCCAGTATCAATCAGTGCTCCGGAAATACTTGGCCGTGCATCCCAGGACACATACTTTGAACATGTCCCACTCTGTGCAAATGACAATTGCATGGGCATTCTCACAAGCAGAGTACGGGTCAGTGGCGATGGTGACGAGCTGAGACACTGTGAAAAGATCGAGACAGTAGACAGGATATAGCAGATCAACCAAGATAAAGGGAAGAAATATCTAGTTCTGTTCTTCTCAAAGAAGCAGAAAGATGAACATTGATATTCCCAGTGAGCAATTCTAAACATCCAGAATAGTTGTTAAGAAAAGGGCTTAGAACTCAGCTCACCTCTCTGAGCGTCTTCTCCATGGGACAGGGTTGGCTGAGACAGGTCTTGGATGATCTGCTCCTTCTTCACTTTGGGGTCATAGATGTGGAGCCGAGCACCCTCATCCATCAGATACCTACTGATATAGATGCTGGAAGACTCCCTGGAAGATAGGGTGGAAGACGGGTGGTGGAAGGCAGGGTAATCAGAAACTGCAGCAGCGACTGACACCCAACACGAGTGCTTTGCTGAACATACCTCAGCACCAAACAAACCCACCTGGTGTCACCTGTGTTCTTCTTGAAGGCGAAGCCCAACAGTGCTATCTTCTTGTCTGTCACTGTGTTGAAGAGGCATCCAATGATTCGTGAGGAGAAACGCTGCCGTTGATAGTCATTGATTTCAATCACCTGGACCAGACGACAAACCAAAGACATGTATAACACAGCACAAGTCACTCGTGCATGCACATAAACGCCGGAACAGTATGATTTCGGGAATCAAGAGGTAGATCCTGGGAATCATAATTAAAGACAACTTCACATAGTCACAACACACACAGACGTCTTTAATTGTTCAGACATGTATATGAGGACCACATGTCCCCAGCATCCCTCTACAACTACAGATGCACAATGGAAACCATCCTTCCTGAAGGTATTACATCATGGTATGGTGCCTGCTCCAGGTTATGTTTTCAGGACCACAAAGCACTGCACAGACCATCACCAGGACATGCACTGGGGGGTGGGTGTGGTTCAGCAGTCTATACTTCTGTTGCTGGGATCAGAAGGTCTCTGGTTTGAGCCCCGGCCTCAACCAACTAGTCATGTGTCAATGGGCCCTCATGCAAGGCCCTTAACCCCCCCCTCCAGGGGGGCTGCATGCTGGCTGACCCTGTGCCGTGTCCCCCAAGCTTGCTCTCCCCTGTCTGTGTATCTCAGAGAGTAAGATGAAGGTCACCAGCTCAAATCATTACAATGGTGTCACCACAATTTTTAATAAAACTGAATTGCAATGTATGTATGAACAAACAAGCAAACAATGTGATAACCCCCCCCCCACTACCATTTCTGCAGACTGTAGTATTGTGTACAGAGATAATCTGAGTGGAAATTTTGTGATTATTTCATTGGACTGGGGAGCAAGCTCATCAAACTTGCAATTTGCAAGTTATTTCCCCTTAATTAAGTCCACCAAAATAAACGGCTACAGTTTACTGGAATACACTGGCAAATTACCAGGTCTGATTTTGGCAAGCCCTGCTCAGTGCAAGTCTCATTAGCCCACCCTTAACTTCCAAGTCGACTTGTCAGCATGTATATTTTAATGGCACGTCAAAGTCATGAGTAAAAGACATTTCTGAAGATAAAAGTGTTTGTGTATTAGTCTACAAAATAACATCGAAAGTCATAATCAAGGCCCAGAGCTTCTATTGAACCAGACTAAAAAATGTAGGGACAGACCAAATCTTCCTTGGGGGGGCATATGGTAAAATCCCTAATATTATCAATTTATCACAGTAATAATTATAAAAATCATGCTGGTTGAGCATATGGTAATGATCAATAAAACATGTCAGTATCTAGCCAAATGTACATAATTAATAAAATAAAACATGTCAGTGAAACAATTCTTATCGATCCAAGTATACGGTTATAATCAGTAAAACATGTCAGTTATACTATTTAGCTAAATGTGCATGATTTTTTATTATTAATACAAACATACTTTTTTAAACATATCCGTAAATGTGTTTTATTGATGTAAACGCTGCCAGCTGTGGTAAGACAAAAATAAAATTACCGGGGTGTACTGTGAAACCGCTAAAATCTTAAATAATAGCATAATTCAAATTCTCAGTCATAGTGAAATACGGCCCAATCAAAGTAAAGGAGCTCGGAAGAAAATAGCTGACGCTCATGAGACTGGAAAGGGTTACAAAAGACTTGGGCCTCCACCAGCCTAGTAAGGCAGAAATTCAGCACCACTGCTACTCTCCCTACAAAAATGAGTATAAGAGTAAAATCCTCAAACTACAGACAACAAACCATAGGGAGTAAGAATCTGCAGGCACCTCATGCGCTTGATATCTTCTTTGTTCATGCATTCTGTGTTCATGAGAAGGTACCAAAGAGAAAATTACTGCTCTCCAAAAACACTGCTGCTAGTCTGAAGTTTCCAGAGACCACCTGGATGTTCCACAACACAACCTGAACAATCTTCTGTGTACATATGAGACAAACGTTGAAATTTCTATATTCACACAATATTATGTTTGGAGAAAACAGCCAAACCGCATCCCAACAATAACAGAGAAATTGGAGAAATACCAATCTATTCAGGGAATTTTATCCTCACAGCAGTAAAAGTCATGGGCCACTGGCTTTTCTGTCGTACCTGTTGCCAGTATCTCGCAACCTCAGGCAGGTTCAGGGCCTCACACAGGTAGACAAGGTTCAGTACGTCCTTCTGGAAACAGCTCCCACCAAACCCTGTAGGTTCAGACATGTGGAGGGTTAGAAAGGCAGAAGCAAGCATTAATGGGTCTGGTGGCACAGAAAACCAGCAAGAACTGTGTTTCGAATTTCAAAGGTATCCAAACATACAATGGGGGTTTTAAAAGTGCAGATATCAACCCTGTACTCGATGTTGTCAGAAAGGAGTACCAAAAATATTTAACAATAATAATTAATAGGATTTGGTTGTTTGGCTAACAAAAGTAGTTAATTACATCCAAATCAGCATAATGTGTAGGTACGGCATTATTTATAATATGCAGGACCGTAGCTAAATGTGAAACATATGTCTCAATGTTAAACATTATTATTAATTATTATTATTAAGTATTAGTATTACTGGTATGTTGCTACTATCGACTTGCTAATTTGCAATTACTGCAGAGGCAGCATTAAAAAAAATTCTGGCTAGTTTTACACACAGACATTGACATGGTGAGCTGAAACATTTAGGCTTAAACTCAAGCTTTGGATCATACGTTGTTTAACCATTATGCTACAGATTATCCCCCCTCCCCCCCCCCAAAGATTCCTTTGGTTCAGGCCGCTCCACTCACTCACCCACACTGGCTTTAAGGAAGCGGCTGCCAATCCTCTGGTCTGTGCCGATGGCGTGAGCCACCTCCTCCACATCAGCGCCGGTCACCTCACACAGGGCGCTGATGGAATTGATGCTACTGATGCGCTGGGCCAGGAAGGCGTTGGCTGCCTACAGGGAAGAGCAGGTAGGGAGCAGAGGGTGAAGATACCCCAGGCTACACAGAGGATTAACCCACTGGAAGGGGAGGAGAAGACTTACAAGCTTGGAGAGTTCAGATGACCACGTGTTGGTGGTGATTATCTTGTCCTTGGGCACCCAGTGTTGATAAATGCCACGTAAAGCTTCGATTGCACACTGACCCTCTGGGCTCTCGTCCCCCCCAATGAGAACCCTGTCTGGGTTCTTCAGGTCTGAGATGGCTGTCCCCTCTGCCAAGAACTCTGGGTTAGACAGAACCTGGACAAAGGTCCCGATAGAAAAGGGAAATTAGTGAACAGACATAGTTAAACAGCATATTTTTAACTGTAAAAAACCTAACTGCAGGATCGATTGTACATGACAGGTAAGCTAAGGATGATGTCACCGACAACGACAACACTATATACGACGAGCACTAGGATTCACCTGGAAACTGAGCGTGCTCTTTGTGTTGGCGTTGAAGATTCGCCGGATGCTCTCTGCCGCCCTGACGGGGACCGTGCTCTTCTCCACCACGATCTTACAGCCGGTGGAGACGTCGGCGATGCGGCGTGCGCATGCCTCAATGTACTTCAGGTCTGCAGCCCTCCCCTTACCAATCCCAAAGGTCTTCGTTGGGGTGTTCACCTGGTAGTCAACATTGTTGGGCAAGTTACTCAAGATTTAGTAATATTACTTCACTTATTATTTGATATCACAAGAAATTAGTTATGTTACTTGTTATATGTACTTTCTTTACCCGCCTGACTGGAAAAAAAACCATACGACTTGCTTAGCCAGCTCCTCGTACAACTGAATCCACTTTATTGGAACAATAATTAACTAACAAACAGCTAAACTGTATAAACAGCACACACTGAGGCCTCTCAAACCTTATAGGATACAGTGCATGCATTATACATATAAAAAAAACAACAGTCTCTCCCACCTTTTTAACTAGTTTTTTTCTGCATATTCAGCAAAGGATTATTTTTAACAGTTTTACAATACATAAAACATTGCGTAACACCATGTTTAGGTTGAAATTGTGTCCAGTTTCTTGTTTTATCTCTGCCCGGACATACCAAGCAGGCTTCAGAAGTGAAACAATGATTGTATCTCATTAGCAGAAGCTTCACAAACCTCTTATCAGACAGTCAGTTCCTTTTAGGGATGAGCAGCAAACCACCTAAGCTAAAATCCACCCCACAAGTGCACTAGATGTACACATCATCATAAGAATGAGGAATGTGGCCTACCTAGGAAAACAAATCGCGTTCCAGCGACACGGCATTGCTTGGATTAATAACTGTAATATAATTACTGTTTTGGAGATTGGAATTCCTAACACTACTCATTACTGAGGAAAATAGCAATATTTCAATAATGCATTACGGAGTAACATTTTACTGCCCAACACTGCTAGACAACACGAGAAGCTAAATCGCAACATACAAGAAAGTTTCCAAGTCTAGAAATCAAACTAACTGCTCCAAAACATCGACTGACTTTAGTACAACTCATGAAGAAATAATGATGAATGAACATGAGATCAGTATGTAAATAACACTTAGTTTCTGGTTAATTAATACATTAAGTAAGAGTACGGCTACATTATTTGTGCCTCTCAAGTAAAGTGTTACAAGAACATTTTTTTCCTGTTGCAGAAAGTTGAACTTCACTATGCTGGAAAGCGGCCTGCAGTGGCATAAAATGGAGACGAACACAGAAAGCAGTGGCAGACGTTTACAGAAAATTGCAGCAATGGGTTTACCGAGATAAAGACGAGGTCTGCATCCTGAATTGCACTGTCGATATCTGTGGAGAAGAAGAGGTTGACTCCACGACAGGACTCAACTACTTCTTGAAGGCCAGGCTGGAGATTTGTGGAGGGGGGGGGGGAGAAGGAAGAACATGAAGGTCCGAATAATTACCCCTCAAGTGGTGCAGTGTCAGAAACCAATGAACAAGGCAGTAATTACCCCAGTATAATGAAAGGCCTTCGATCTTGTAATTACAGAAGATCCCCACGAATGAGACAAATCGCGATTAATACTTGGGCACCCATAACTTCAACCTGTCTGCTAGCCTGAATGATAATATAAAAGCCTATTTACTACCAATTTCTAAATAAACAGCACTGTACTGAACACTTTGCATATCAAATTATTTTGTCACTTCCTATCAAGAGCAGTATGCACTGGGAGCAGTACGTTTTGTTCCCATAATTAAAAATGCACAGTAAAGGGCACTGAAAATTTTTAAAGTTACTGGGAGAAATGGGGGATTCCACAGTCACAATTACAGCTAACATGTGACTGAGGCAGGTTCCCAAAACAAAGACGCGAGGCGTACCCAAGTCGAGACTTAACATTAAAGACAAGTACTTACACTAACAAATATCATGCATCACTAATATTTATATATGATTTTATGTGGTCCAAATCATTTTCAGTATTCTTTTAGGCTTATGCGCCATCTGCGAGTTTCCAGTATATTTCAGCAAGCTCCAAAAATATTCCAATTTAATTGTCCGAATAACTGGCAAATAACTGAAACCATAAATGTCAAGTTCTCAAATGTGAAGGGGTTACTGTATAACGGTGAAAGAAACTAAGTGACAAAGCAGTGCACCTCACCCAACCCAAGAAGTCAGGTAATCCCCGAAAGCTGACCTCAAAGATAGGCAGGCTGTCAGAGTTCCAGGCTTGTATGCGGTCCTCGTTCACATCCACCACCGTGACCATCACCCCTGGGCACATCTGGGCGATCACACTGCAGGTGGGCCCCCCCACGTACCCCGCCCCTATGCAGCATATCTTCTTCACCTGCACCATCCTCCCTGAAAGATGTTTTTGATGAAAGAGATACGGGGGTGGGTCATCACAGAGATGTAAGGATTAAAAGATGACATTTAAGAGACCTGTAAAAGACAAACACTACAAAGATCAGTCACTAGACTAAAAGCCAGGTAGGATGGCTGACTTGTTCCAGAATTTTACTAATGCAAGGCTGCACAGAATTGGTCCTTGAGTGCAGAGGTTGTGTGGGGATTTTCAGTCAACCGGTTAATTACTTCTATAAAATAATTATACTGGCAGGAAATCACATGACCTGATACTTCAAGCTGGTATGACAATATAGTAAATGGAAGCTTTTAAACCACAGATCTTTGCACCAGGGATGCATTTTTCTGGTGTCACTGCCTGTTGCAATTTTTATGTTGAACTTCTTCTAATACAAACAGGAATATAAAAAGAACATGAAAAGGTCTTTACTCTTTTGCTCACAATATCTAATCGGGATGTCCAAATCCACTTTTTTTGGTCCCCCGATCCAATTCAATATTTATATCTGCCGACTCCGAGTACCGATCTCCTATTTTAATAACTATTTAAATATCCATACACAAACCATAGGCGTCAGTGCAGTCTTTTATCTTTTTACCTCGGGATATTGCAATATTATATTCCTCCTTGTGGTGTTTCTGCTCATGCCCAATAGCTTGTAGTTTAAAGCCATGTCCCTCAGAACCTTACAGTCTGTGCAACTGGCATAAATTAAGTGGATAGAAGAAATTAAACACATAGGGTTTTGGATCAGGCTGCGGTAGCCGATAGTGATCAATTAAAAAATGCTTGGATCGCCCCCAATTCTGATCTTTGATATTGACTCTGGACATCACTGATATCTACAGCCAGCATACTCTAAAATGAGTCTACTTAAACAAATAAAGCTAATACTCATTACTCATTTTAGTCATGAGTACTAACCATTCAGCAATTACAGGTGCTCCAAGCTGCTGAACCCACAGAAGTTCATTGGAACATTCTTAACACAAACTGCCATGGTGTTTTTCCTGATCATTATAAACCCCATGAAATTTTTTAAACGTGTTTTGTCAGTTCTGTTATGAACTTTGTTCATAATAGTTACCTGCCTCATTCACCTATCATTAATTAGCAAAAAAGGTAACTGGAGTAGAACTAAAGGGCAATTTAATATAAAACAGGAGGGGGTCAGGAGTCCCTCATTCATAATCCTTTCCTGCTGCTGAAGTTGAGCCATAAATCCAAATTCCCAAATGACTCCCTTCTGATCCATGTGCAACATACACAGAAAGGCATGTGCAACATTTCTAGGAAAGAGATGTACGAGATCCCCTCCCTCTCTCTCACTGTGTGACATCACTGACAGGAAATAAACACATGTGGTAAAAGTGATTCAGTTAAGAGTGACTACACTTCTATGCTGGGTCTTTCTGACATCACACCCCCTCCCTTAAGATAAAGGGTAACCAAACTTCTGTCCTGGGTCTTTCTGACAACACACCCCCTCACTGAAGATAGGAAGTGTCCACTCTCCCTGCTATTGAGCAATCAGTTATTTTTCATCCTCCCTGGAGGAAAACTAACATTACTTCAGTCATTCCCTCCTCATCATCCCACACAAATCCTGCACTCAGTACATTCTGCATTGCTTTACTAGCAAAACTACAATGGGTACAAGCTAAAGATCCTAAACGGAAGAAAATAAGCTTTAAATAAAAGAAATTTGTGGTTTATCACCCTGATGACACACCCACATCCCCTCTTACCCCTCCCCCATCCTGATCACCACCCCCCTCTCATGCCACGCAGGCTCTCAGGAGTACACAGGCGTCTGTGTGTGCACCTCCCCTTTTGCTCACCCCCCCAACCCCACCCCACCCCCCAACACAGTCGTTCCCTTCACGGCTCTGCTGCCCCGCTTTCTCTCCATATCCATCCTGCACGTACAAGCGACTCATTATTCTGACCTCTCACATTAATATGAAAACTTATCCTGAAACTTTTCAGTCTGGAAGTCCCATACTTTTAGTCTCCAGGGGAATATGGCAAGTTCCTCAAGACCTTTGTGTTCTCATAAAGCCATGAACTAAACTGTTTTACGTGACCAAGTGACAAAAAAAAAAAAAAAGGCATATCAAACATTTTAATACAGACTAGCTGATAGGAAACTGACCATTTCAGGATACCAGATTTAACAAACAATTAATTTATATTAATATAAAAGCCATGTGTGAACAATTACATCAAACGTTACAGTACTACCAATATTTTTACGCATATCATCCAGTTTTTTTTCCCTCTAGGAACATCTGATTTCTAAAGATATTTGACAACGGTCAGGTTTGGACTTGTTTGCAGTAACAGCCCCAGGTAAACATCAGTGAGTCATTTTAATTAACTCAGTTTGTAGTACATTCCCTTCTATGTTGTATTGAATACAATTTCTTTTAACACAGCTTTGAGTTCACATCTGTGATATTTTTCATTACATGTACAACTCCAATAATCCATCTCGGATACATTTTAAGTCGAATGCTGAAGTTTCCCATTTTATGCCAGAAAAAGTACGTGACATGCGAAGCCGAAGGTAGCGCAACTAATGGAGTTTGCCTGCCTGTTGATAAGCAATGAATAAGGTTCAATATTCAGTTACAGTTATAAGAAATAAACACTGGTCAAACTAGCTATTGTAGGGCACGACCTACAATATAGTCGGAGGAAAGATTAATTAACGGTTAAATAAATTACTTTTATATTGTGGCTTGTTACGGCTGTGTAAAGCTGCCGTTAGCCGGATAACTAAAACTTAACGTTTGTCTGCCTGCTGTTCACACCTAGCTGGCCGTGAAAATAAGCAGTGATATTTCGGCTCCGTCTCCACGCCGCACTTCCACCCCAGATGTGTCTCGTTAACCGGCAAACCAGATTATCCAGCTGCAGTTACTTTCCCCAGTTAATATAGCCGATCACCGCGAGCGAACCTGGGCAGCCAATCACGTTCCGGCGCGAGCCGAGAAGAGCTCGTTCATTAGCGTTTAATAGCTAAGCCGCTTAGCAGCTCTCCGCCGCGCGGTAACGTTTAGACCTCACCGGTGACCGGGCTGATCCGGTTATAGTGTCCCAGAGGTAACCGGCCAAGCGGTGTCATTACATTGGCGCCCCGCACCGTGCCGATCAAGAGAACCGACTGGTAAAATAATCACAAAACGAACCAGCGTACTGCGGCGTTTAGCGGCGAGTTAAAGCGTCCGACAGGACGGAAAAGTTGCAGGATTCCGTAGTATTTAGCGAAAATGGCAGAAAGTGCTCCGGAGGCACTGAAGCAGACAACTACATGCAGGGTAGAAGTCGACATGCCGCAGTTAACTTTGGCGAAGCGAATAGAGCAAATCCCCGGCGGCTTACCAATGACTGAGTCTGCTGGAGCCTGAGAAAATCTCTGAGATTCTTCTAAACTCAAAGGCGGAGTTAATTAATGCGATCGAAGCAATGAAATTATGCAGCTACAACCTTTAAAGGTTTAATCTCAATAACGCGCAATATACCTAAAACGGCGCTGTAGGGACGGCGTTTCCCCGGGATGTGGAGGAGCTCTTCGCAGCTCGGACTTTTTCCTTGACTCGCACCAGCGGGGGGGGGCATCGCACGTTCTTTGACATCATTTCCTCACCAGCCGCGTCGTGGAGTCTGACTGTGAAGTCGCATCACACAGAGTTCAGAGCGTTATGATGATCAAACATCGTTAAGCCAGATCAAATTAGCTCTAATAGTTTAGAATTCTCCTGTTCTGTTTTGAGAAACTTCCGCCGTCGACAACCATTTCCTTTTACTTAAGTTCCTCTGACAAAACTCCACAAAAAAGTTTACCAAATATCTTGAACAACTTCTAAAACGGTGTGAAACACTGACGCTGGACCTATAATTTCTGCTGCCACTGTGTTCTGTCCGTTGCAGATGATGATATTGTACCAGAAGTACAGTTCTTGTCTTCATGGGTGTGCATTTGTACTATTTGAAACTTGATGCTAGACATAATACATAGTTAATATATAGATTTGTTTTCAGGATTTTAGGGCTTTCTTAATTTGATAACCTTTCCTGGCCCAAGGAGGATGGGCTCTCCCTTTGAATCTGGTTCTCTGAAGGTTTTTTTCCTACTAGGTAGTTTTTCCTTGCCACTGTTGTCACTGGTTTGCTCACTGGGGGCTCTGGGCAGAGATAATCTAAAGCGCTTTGCGACAATATAGATCATGTTCTGGAAAATGCACTAAACAAAATAGTTTAATTGAAATTGAATTTTCCTTTGTGTTCTACTCACTTTTGAAACCTTAACCTGGTGACACCTAGAGCCACTGCCACAGTGTAGCTCCAATGGGGTTCCTCTGTGCAGGTCTGACCCCTGCTCACAGCCACATATGAGGGTTTTAGGAGTGACTTAGTGAGATAGGTCATTGTGATCAAACGGTTTGCGGTTCAAATCCTGTGGGCAGCAAAATAATTTCCAGGTTGGAACCCTGAGCAAGGTCTCTAACCCCCATTGCTCTGAGGCCTGGCTGTCCCTGCCTCGTCAACTGTTTGTCACTTTAGATAAAAGCATCTGTTAAATGTAATAATAATAACTCCATTTGTCACACTTCATGTCTTGTATTGGGCCTAAATCTCCCCCCCCCCAATACCTTTTCCATTAAAATAAAGTCAAACTATAAAAAGTATCATCCTGGGTAATGTGTCTTAGTAATTTGTTAAGTAATCTATATAATTCACAATAATTCACTTTGTAATGTGTGTACTAAAAGTTTAATCATTTTTATACTGAATCTGCTGATTCTGCTGATATGTGAGTCTAGACTGTCCATCCCTTTCTTTTACCATAAATTTACTCTATGATAACACTGAGATATACTCTGATATTTACGCTGAGACCTTGCAAAGAGTTATCCACATTCTGTCACCTCCTGTGCGAAACAAGTACCAAAAAATCCAATTAAAAACCGAAAAAGCTATTACTCATTATTCTGAATAGTGGACAGAGTGAGTGTGCCGATGCTGAAACCATCTGAGACCGATTTACGCATGAATTGTCCCAATGTGGGGGTTCTGTAAAAGAACAGGGTTGACACAGCCCAGTTGATTAGAAACAGAAGGGGAGGAAGGTTTACGTCACACACACACCCCTGCTGGTGTCAGCTGAAGGATTTTGTAGCTCTGATTTGCTGCCTTTGTAAAGAACATGGTGGCCAAGATAAACCATGCATTACATCACAGAATGTCTTTTTTGTGGAGAAAATGTTAACCCTCCGCTTCAAAGTTACCTTTTAGTAATCATACATTTCCAGTTATTGTTGCTGAAAGGTGACAGAGTGCTTGTGGAATTCAGGCACCACCCAGGTCCGTCATGTCATCCACTCACAAGTGCTGCTGCCCCTCTTGCTAGGCCCCACCCTTAATTTTGTCTGGTTGTCATGGTAGCCGAGCAACACTGCGTTAGTAAAAGTTCTAAAGAGTGATAGTTATGTGGATTCCATGTGCAATATTATTTTAGATGGACAATTGCTTTGCAAATAACTAATCTGCTTCTATCTCCACTGAAAAGTGTAAAGTGTCAACTCATGACATTCATAAAAATATGAACTAATAGTAGTAACAATGGTAATGCTTTACTTGAGGAGGCGCAAATAGTAGTAACTCAGTTACTACTACAGCACAAATCATGAACCAGTATAGTCCCTACTTAATGTAAAAGATGCATCATGATTTATTAACAATGAACAAACATTACATCAATACTTCACTTATTTAAATTACTTGTTCCCTCAGTAGTTCCTTAGAAATTCCTTCAGTAGTTACTTCAGTAGTTCACTAAGATATAGAGAATTAACAGATATAGTAACAATTATAGTAATTACTTGAGATAAAAGATGTGATAACTCATTAACAATGGACAAACATGAGATCAGTCTATAACTAAAACTTAGTTTCTGATTAATCAACACATAAGTAATAGCATAATATTAAATTACTTGTGCCCATTCAAGTAAAGTGCTACTATAACAAGGAATAGCCGCCCAGATTTCCCTTGCACCCATGTGGGGGTGCCCATTTTCTGTGTGGCTGTGCTCAGTTTCTCTGTTTCAGAGACACAGTTCTGATGATGATCACCAGACAAACAGCTGATCCTTCTAATTTTTCTTCCCTGTTCAGTTTAGCACCCTGACAAATAGTATATCTGGCCAATGACAGCATAGTACTCCTGGCATAGCTGTTTCTGAGCTGATTAGTTGATTACCTGGCTCATTTCCTTTGGGCTCAATGGAAACATCACGGACCTAACACAAAAAAGCAACCCAACCAAGTAAATATTCAACATCATCTTCATACAGAGTCTTTTTACAAAGAAGAGACTCCTTCCATTCACAATATTTGCCTTGAAATCTGTAGATGACACTGTGGTAGAGAAATTATAAATTATATATTTTTTGTACACTTTTTTTGTAAACTTAACCATAAATGAGGACAACTAAAAACATAAAATACATACATGATTTAGCAAACACACAAATATTAACTGAAAAAACGACAGCTTAACATAATGACAAACCACTTCTTGCAGATATTAGACCTGAGAATAAAACAAATTGGTGAAATTTTATCATTATTATTATCATAATTGAGTTTGGCTCCTACCCTGTGAATAGACTGACTGTCCATCTTTTTGACTTCAGATATTCCCTAACATTGCCTGCCCATAATCTCTGGTCTAAATCACTAATGGTTTGCCTGTGAGTTTATATTAAAGGTCAGAGATATTTTTTCCCTTACTGACTGCATTGTATCAATATTACAGAACTATATAATTATATCTAAATATATATGTCATTCATTGTTATAAGCTCCATCCATGAATATGTATGAGTTGAGACAATCTTACTGGGTAATGTGAGCTTAATATGGTAAAGACAGTATAAGTACATACTTCAAAAATGAATGTATTGTAATTGCATAAGTTCATATTCCCACTCTCAGTCACAGAATAGTACCCCACTACCACGTACAGGACAGAACCCGACTCTCAGTTACAGGGTAGTACCCGACTGTCAGTTACAGAACAGTACCCCACTCTCAGT